ATCTGTGGTTCTTTTATGTGTGTCACACCATAGGACATTACGTCACACTAAAGGACAGAAATGATTGTTAAAAAAGTATTTCTATTTAATTTTGAACATGTCAAAGGAGAAAGTAAGTTTAATTTTGATACAAACAATATCAACATGTTTTTCAAACAAAACAAAATAATTTTCATCAACAAAATTCAGTCTCTTAGTCAATCAGTATGTTACTGAAACTCTTCTAGCACCCCGCTGCATGTGTGGCACAGCTAAATATGATTGATATTTAAACTGTATTCATTAAGATGTTAATTAAATTTTTTTAACTATATGGCTACTTTTTTTAAGGCATCATTTTGATTGTATTTACTTTCTGCATCGTTCTCTTAGGATCTCCTCCCTTCTGCGTGGATCCCTGTTAATTTTCTGTCTATATTTCCATGTCTTCTTTCTTCCACTAATTTCTCTCCCTCAATTCTTTCTGTCTCAAAAACAAAGTATCACATTTTATACTTATTTTCATGATACTTTATAACAGTACAAGTTTTCTGCAAAAACATCAGAAAATAGTTTAATTAATGTAATTATTGCATTTAAGAACACTGAATGATCAAAAAAGAATAAAAAGGAGTTAAACAAGTAAAATGCTTTTTAAAGAGACCTGGTGTGACATCTTTGTCCTATGGTGTGACAGTACAGGCGTCACACCGGAGGACATTTTCTGTCACACCAAAGAACATTTCAGCCTTTTGAGTCAATTAATGACCTTGCTATTCCGAGCCAACTTGTCATTAGCGGTTAGCAAGACACATTTGCATAATTTTCCATGATTATGTAGCTTAACACAGTTTTTAATTAAAAAATATAAAATAGGGGCGTCGCACCAAAGGACAACAAAACATAACACTTTTGTAGTGGTTCCAAAAAAGTTAAATATTTGAACAATTCTGAGGCAAAAATGTACCATGTGCACATGTCATGGGCTTCACAGGGGGTTTCAGTAACACGACCATAAATTGAGTCCTTCAACTAATTAAAGTTTTCTCTGGAATTGGAAATATATGGATGAAAAAAATGATTGCCATTTACTAAAATAGACACTTGTACAATTATGCCGTACAATAACATTTTTATGCTTTTCTTTTTAATTTATAAAAGTTGTAATTTACTGAACCATGCTTGGGACAGTCAAACCATAGGACAATTTTGAGATTTGGCTAAAAAAAAAAAGACCCCCCAAAAAATCGAATAACACTGCAGCTTTTATAACAACAGGTCCATGTAGGACAAAGAAATGTTTAACGATTTACTGCATTTTAAATAACGACAATATTAATTATATTCATTTTTATCTCGTGGGACAGTGAAAATGCCACGTCACATCAACAACCCATATATATACATGTGCATCTCAAAAAATTAGAATATTGTGAAAAAGTAAATTTTTTTGTAACTTATTTCAAAAAGTGAAACTTTCATATATTCTAGATTCATTACATGCAAAGTGAAACATGTTTTTTTGTTTTAATTTTGATGATTAGAGCTTACAGCTCATGAAAGTCAAAAATCCAATATCTCAAAATATTAGAATATTTCCTAAGATCAATCAAAAAAAGG